CATAGCTTGTGCTCCCTCTAGCCAAAAACATTACTCGATTCTAAATGCTGGTTTTTTTTGAATAGAAGTTACACTGTGCCACAATTTTATGACAATTCAAACCAGTTCGGACTTTGCTAATATTTTTTTTTATTCAGTAATAAAACACTCGATGGATTTTCAAAAGTTAGCTCGTATTTTTGTTTTACGTCGTAGAACATTTTAACCCATTAGCTTCCGCCTGAAAAGGTCCTTTTGACCCTTACTTCCAGCAACCCCGCAAAAAGTAAATTTGGAAGTTCGTTAGAGGATTGATATATTCTAAAAAATTATTCTTCGGAAAATGTTACTAGCGGTCTTCTCAGGTAAAAACTTCATAAAATAAAAAATAAGAAAAAAGTGGGATTTTTTCTACAAAAAAAATTTAAAATTAAGTTTGGCTTTTAATTCTTCTTGGCATAGATTTTTTGTTTTAAATTTATAGAGCCTTTGGTGGTGTTTTTACTTGAGGTGACCCCTAGTAAAATTTTCCGAAGAATAATTTTCTAGAATATATTAATCCTCTTACGACCTTCCAAATTAGCTTTTTGGGGGTTTCTTGAAGTAAAGGTCAAACCGACACTTTTAGGCGGGAGCTAATGGGTTAAAATGTTGTCTTAACCTTTAATTTCGCTCAGATAACAATTTTAATTTTTTCTTCTACCTTTTTGAAAACTACTTAGGCCGGGGGGGGGACATTAAAACTTTAGTAGGCCATAAAATGTTAATAAAGTCCGGGCTGGTTTCGGCTGTCGCAGAGTCTTATTAATTAAAAATACTTGTATAAAAAAATGTATAACCTCACATCTTCATTTATGTTAAATATTTTTCATTCCAACGAATGTCCTCTTGCATCTTCGCTAAGTTCTCCTAAGAGATCTGATCCTTCCTGATGTGCGAGGCTTTTTGTTGGTAACGTTCCATAGTGCAGGTTTCGTTAGGCTGGCGTAGTACATCGGTGCTTAAGTTCGTCTCTTGGCTTGAGTATAAACGAGTACGACACTTACCTTGCTTTAGCCCATACCCATAGCTCTTTGATGGTTCGGTCTCGCTTATTGAGACACCCAACGGCATTCAGCGAACTCACATTGAGCTTGATAATAATTTTTCCGAATTGACGCCTCCAACTCAGAGACTTCGAGGTGACCTGGCCTCTTTTGGTTTTAGTCATTGTGTCCAAGCCCCCCTTTTAACCAGCAACCCGAAGCTTTTAGCGATGGAGCAAATGTACTGTACATAAAGTAAAACTGAGCTGACCACCCTTCTGTAAAGAATTATTCTACTATGTTTAGGTTCACCAGCTTGACGAAGACCCATGGTGTTTCGCCAATGCACGCCCGCAGTTTGGTATTTTCCCTTCCCTTTCAAACTGGACAAGACAGAGCTATGAGTATTAACGCTGCAAAACTAGGCCTGGTAAACAAAACGATCCACTTGGAATCGCAGCGGCACAAAAGCACCGATCAATAGCATTCAATCTTTCCTAACCTAACACCCTGGTGGTGGCAAAAACAAGTTGAAAGAAGAGATAAGAGATTTGTTACAAAAGGTCTCAGAGGTTCAATTTAATTAAATGTAATATTCATAACATAAACTGTATCTACATACATATTTACATACATCCACGCAATATTCTCATTAAGTGGTTAAGTTAATAAACCTTGAATATGACATCCCAGAATGGCTATAAATTAATAAAAAAATATCAATGAACCAGTGATTTAATCAGTTGCAATTCATTTAATCAAGCGATTTATTTACTCTTTAAATAGACATAAATGAAAACAAAGTATTTGCATATATAACTTCACACTCCGTACATTTCTGCATAAGTGAATAAAATACATACATACTAGATTCATGTACAGTGTTGCCAAACATGCGCTTTTCCTACCAAAACTGGTAGGTTTTTTTCCATTTGGTAGGTTGGTAGGCTAGATTGGAGTTTGATAGGTTCCGCGACAATAATAGTTATTTGCGAAAAATATAAAATATAAATATTTCACCGGTGGAGTTCACCATTGTCTACCTGACAGAGAGTTCATTGTAAGACCTGAGGAATATCACCAAAATTGGTTTTTTAATATGGTAGTAAGACCCGTTTTCACATATGCGGCACTGCCCTGGTGACCAAAAGCTACGCAAGTAAAGGCGGGTTCCACTTTTAGCAAGCTGCACCGACTGGCCCGCGTGGCCATTACAGGAGCTATGGATGCCCTTGGTGTCATTACAGGCATTCCTCCTTTGTCTATTCTGTTTGAAAAAGAGGTCTGCTGGAGTGCCCTACGACTGCCCAATATGATCAGCAAGCAAATTTGGGTTCTTAGGGGTCATTTGAAGGTTTTAAAGCCATTACTGGATAATCCCGAGCTATCCTTCAACAAACCCTACAAAATTAGAATTCCTGAAAGGGACTGCTGTGATGTGATAATAGCTATGATTGACGAAAGGTTCCAAGCATGGTATGTATAACGACGGATTAAAGATGGATGACGAGAGTACTGGGGCAGGCGTATTTGGACCAAAACTTTTGGTTAAGTCTGTTTTATACGAGCTGTGTTCTAGTTTTTCTAAATGTAAAGTTATCTACGTTTTTAATAAACTTGACATTAAAACAAAATATTAAAAATTTATCCAACAATTTATGGATATACAATTTTGGTAGGCTTTCGTTGATTTTGGTAGCGTTAAAAAATTGTCCGTGGCAACACTGTTCATGTATAACAAACAACACACGTCACATGAATAACTGAAAACAAAAATAAAAATTGAAATTAATTCATCAATTGCGGAAACCACCAGGCGGGTCAACACAGAGCAATTGATTGCGTGGCGTGGCGTTGAGCATTTGCCACTCATACAATTAAAATGTGCGTGCATTCATACCCCTCTACTCCATAAATAGCTATGGTACATAGGCTGCTATCCAATTGCAGACAACTCAATTAATATTTCACCATCTGTTCTTTGTTCTGCAATTCGCATGCATTTTTTTTTTTTGTGTTCATTTCGTGCCGCCACAGATGACTGTTATTGATAATTTTAACGAGTTTGGCGGTCATGTTGCCATTAAACACCAACTGTGGGGTTGTTATTCTTTTGCAAATATTTGTGCATTTATGCAGTTATTCATTGGTGCAACCCAATGATGGAAGTGCAGCAAAAAGTCATGCCGCCACTCAAATAATTTACGCTTTATGTGGATTTGTGGAAAGATTTATGTGAAGTTGCAAAAAAAAAAAGTGTTGTTAAGTGAAATGCTTTTGAACGAGTGCAAGCTTTTATACATGG